CCCATTTAAGTTATCCAAGTGAATGACCCTGTTGCGATCCTCGATCTATTTTGTATCTAACCGTGTCGACTTCCTGCCAAAAGACTTGCTAATTTTTTAAAATTAGAAAATTATTAACGATGACGTGAGAACTGACAACAGGGTTAAAAATGAATCTAGTAAACTGGAAACTGTATCGTTGAAATTTTAACACACCATTTACGCGTGGCAACCGAATGGAAAGCACTCAGAAATGTTCAGATCGCATTGTAGAAAACAATTCATCACGCGTATTTCTTATCATTAGTTTGCCCTTCGTATCTCTTTTATCAACGCGCTGTTTGCTTTTCCAAGAAAAAACGGAGTTCACTGAACCTCGTTTTTCTTATATAATTTTGCGCACCAGCAAGTGAATTGTATCACTACACCGCTTATCTCGAGTGACACCTTTTCTGTCGGTGCGTCGTCCGTTCGCACCGCCACGCCACAAAACAATATAGAATAAGAACACAGAGAAAATTTAAAAAAAACCCAGTCCACGAACGCTTGCATCTCTCTGTTTTTAGTGGGACAAACACGACATTAAACCTGTAGCTAAATTTCAGTTAGATCTTAATTCATACCAAGCAACATGAATTAACAGAAGGAAATTGATTGATAATCGCGCATGTAACTTGGATCGTAATACATAGGCTTACGTGATACGAACCCTTTACTTGCGGCGCGACGAAACTAGCAATAAATGTTACCACTATACAACCGATAGTCTAATTGTAAGCTATTCATGAAGAGACATTTGGTAACGTAGCGCGTTTAAAAAGATTCATAGAGACGGGTAAATTATTTTATTGGGCTGTTCGTCCACGCGGTCCACTGTAGCGGTCGTTTGTTTGCGAGAGGGTTGAAAGGAAAGGAAAGCGAGAGCGAGAGAGGGAGAGAAAAAACCAAATAAACGTTGTTTTGCAAGCTGCTGGAATACCTCATTCAAAACGACGGTTCCGTAGTCTGCAAGTGGTGCGGCGAGGTGCTACCGTCTCGAACCCGTTGGTACAGGCACAAGTACAAACTACACGTCTCCACCCAGGTCACCCAGCCGGCACCGCTGTTTAAGTGTCACAGCTGTAACGCTTACTTCAAGTCGCGTAAGGGTTACATCGGTCACCTGAGTTCCCGGCACTCCGACAACGAGAACGACGAAAACAGAGAGGAGACGGCCAACAAAAGGGCTCGGAAGACTTCCGACGTAAGTCTTGAACCACCCTCTCAACGATCGCCTGGTCAGACTTGCTCACGTCCCTTGCTAAGACCCTTTCAGACGCCTGACTTTTTATCAAATCGGTCATGTTTGTCCTTTTTTTCGAGGCAACGAGAATAAAGATGAGTCCGCCTGAAAGGATCTTCAACCATGCTTTTAGCACATCCACTTTCATGCATGCCTCTCTTTCAAAGAACGTAGACAACAACGGTGCGATGTATAAATACTTGTCTCTTCAAACGAAACTGAGAAAATGAAATAACTATATATAATATAATTCGTGATTCTGTTTAAGAATCTTGTATCCAGTAGTTTCAGACTGACAACGTGCGATTAAATTGCAAATGATTATTTAAAAATCCTGCGCGACACTTTAGACCAGCGGTGACTTTATATACTATTGGAGGCAGTTTTCTATACGTGCCGAAAGTGTTGATAAACCCGTAAAAAGAGAGCGACATGTTTTTTTTTTCGTTCTGCTGATAGCATGTAGCTAAACATTTCTACCTCGCCTACGCATTTAACGCTTGAGAAAGTACCTCCAGTAGTACATGCTCTAAGGGGGTGACGAACTTAGCGGCTTGCGAACCATTTACGACTCTTGCTTCTATTCTATTCACCGGTCGTGGCTTCAATCCGCGGATGATACAATGGAACTCCGTGCCCCATCGCTTTCCAACTATTGGAGCTTCATTCTCCATCTTTATGACGACGTAAGTACGTAAGAGAACACGGGAGATTTCATTTGCCATAGCACAGGGCACATGGACAAGGGAGGCTTATCTTACTCGTTCCTTCAACAGTCGGCCTGATTAGAGTGTGCAACCGTTTTAACAAAAGGCAGTAAGCCAGAATCGACACACATAAGGATAAACGGAGAAACATTCGGCCAATTAGGCGCGTATTTTTTCCAGAAGAAGTCACGATACAGTGTTTGTATGTCCGTCTAATGCAATGGATTCTCGAGTAATCGGTTTGAGTCTAAAGGGCAGATTCAGAAAGGTGCCCGAGGCATACGGATGTCCTGGTAGTTCGGAACATACGAGCAGTCCTGCTTCTTTCAATATAATTCATATAGATAGCCCGATTGCATCGAATACTCCGATACATTCGCCTCATCGGCGGATTCAGACGAATACCCGCGATAAACAGAACCCAATTCCATGTTTTATTCTAAATACATGAGGTTTATTATTTATTGGCGCCCGAGGAAGAAGTTCGTCACCCTTGCTTTAGATAGTTTCACTCTAAAGTCATGCACGTTATAAAACACCTGCGTCGTAGCTCGTCCATTTCCCTCTATTACTTGCCCCTAAACGCATCGCTCTTGCCTTTCGTAACAAAACAGTTTCAAGGTTTCTCATTCCTGTCAAAGCTTAAAAAATTCGAAAGCACCAAGCATGCAAGAATGATGAGAAGAAAGGATATCGCTTGCTTGAGTTTGCTTCTTTCGGTCATTGGATCTTTATACGGTGGAAAGAGTGTAAGGGTGAAAACGTGCCTCCGACAGATCGGTAAAGGGCCAGACTGGGAACAGCAGAGGGAAAAAGAGGAAAAGCTAGTGGCGGACATAATCGATCGGGTGAAGAGGGAGTGCGAGGCTCAGGGTGAGACGGTGACGAGACGGGGCTACTCCAGGCGATCCACCGTGATGAACAGCTAAGGAACGGATAAAGGGACAGATGAAAAGGGAAACTTGTGCCATATCATCGTCGTACGATGCCCTCCTCGTCGTGACACACCGCGAATATCGCTTCCTGCTGACGTTCGATCTCCTCGCGTTCTTTGTTCTGTCTACGCTACTGTGCAAAAATTGTAAATCACCCATATTATTGATTTTTCAAAGATTTCATCGAATATTATCGATACTACTATACAAACATCAATTTTAAAATAAGGATGATTTATAGCACAAATATTATATGTCCATTTCTTGACCAATAATTATCAGAGTCTAATAAGAAAAGTTAAAATTCTCAAGTGCAGTTATCGAGTAATAGAAATATTTGGTAGGAAAGTTTTCGCACAGTATCGTAACGTTATTAAATAAGCGATCAAGATACTAGGTTTTGAGAAACAATTAAAATCAAATTAGAATTTACAAATCTGTAGCGAAGTTCTATGCTCAATCGTATCGTTAATAGAAACTTATGAATGAATCTGAACTGAAGCGATCGAACGTGATATCGTTGATACGTCTCTGCTACACAAACGATACAGTGTAACAAAGAGTGTACGTTGGAATGACGACCGTCGGCAGGACGATAGTGATAGTCTTCAAAACAGGACTATAAAGCTGTTTAGTCATAACGCGCGGCCGCATATATTTTTTTCGTATTCTAAACGGTCGCGCATTGGTAAGAGAAGTGTATTTACCAGTTCGTACGCGCGTCTCGAAACTAATCGATGCCTGATACAGATCTAAAAAACATTCTGTTTAAAAGCGATTACACATAAACTTACTTGACTAAAATTTAAAGGTCTTATCACAGCGTTCTCGAAATGGCAGTCATCTCGTTCCAAGGAGAACCATAATTATCGAGATTTTATAAAACCTCTGTTTTGCGTAATTGTTTTTAAATAAAATGTTCTCTAGATTCGTGGCATACTACGGGCCTGGATGGCTGCGGTCCGAAAAAAAGCGGGATAAACTGAGTGTACACATAATGTTTTCCTAATTAAAATTGTCTATCGTTGGTCGATATCGTTCCTTTGATCTCGGTAGGTTTCGCGGATCTAAATCACGCCGATACGCGAACGAAAACGCGAAAGTATAGGTGGTAGATATATGTACAAAGAAAAGAAAATAATGGTATTTTGAGTCGCTGATTGCTGCGACAAAGTGGCTGTCGCTTCATTTGACTGCAACTTGGTAATACCGATTATTAATAGTAGCTTTTTATTAAATCTTAATTCTTTACGATATAATTGGTACAAATCGAACTGTGTTCATCTTATTTTTATGCTTGTTGATACTATAATATGGTAATAACGAAAACCTTCTGTCCCAGATTATAAAACAGACATTTGACATATCTGTGGAACTTAAGGATGTATTGACTATATAGTCAATCCCTAAAGTTTATGCACTTTAGAAACTTATTTTTTAAAAAGAAATCAGACGTCGGAAGAACATTGCTAATAACAACCAACAAAAAAAATTTTCGATTTTTCCGAGATTTTTCCAAGGGGTACCCCTTCAAATTTTGCGAAATTTTCGTTTTTTGCCAATAACTCCAAAACGGATGGACGTAGGGGGACATTTATAGGACCATTTTGTAGAGGACGACGAGATCTACAATTTCCGTATAAAAATTTATTGCTAGTGTCAATAGTTTACGAATTATTTGCAAAAAACTGTTTTTTCGTTTTTCGTCAATAACTCGTAAACTATTAATGCTAGCGAAAAACTTTTATACAGAAATTGTAGATCTCGCCGTCCTCTACAAAGAAGGTCTTATGCAATTTTCCTGTAGGACCTACAGTTTAAGAGTTATTGAGGAAAAACAAAATTTTTTGTCAAAAGTTCGCTGATTCAACGGTGGAATGGTCGGATTTTATCAGTACCCATAAAATGCCAAATAATCATACGTAACTCGTTAAATATCGAAGTTAGAAGGAAAACAACTTTTATTTGAAGCATTTTTCGCAATTTTGAAAAAAAAAATTTTCTACTGCGTCAATACTTAATTGGATATTGCCTTCTATACTTTTTAGCACGTAGCTATTTATTATTAGCATTATTCTTTCGACATCTGATTTCTTTTTAATTATAGGAAATGCGTTTTTCTAAGGTACATAAACTTTTGAGATAGACTGTATAGCCAATACATCCTTAAACATTCACTCATTCAACAGTTTTTAACAGATAGCATGAAATCATGAACTTTATAAAAAGAATGTTTGTATTTATTTTGCAAAGAAGAATTGGTATTACTAACTTAAGGTCGATGGCAATTAATTAACGTGAGATAAATTCGCGAATCGAGCCTGAGAGGCTTTGTCGAAGGGAATCCAGTGCCAAATGTATATCTTCCCAGGCGTACGACATTATCTCGTTGCGTACAGAAAAATACGGGATGTTCACTACAATACGCGCGATGAGAGCGATCGTTTGCTCAAAAGTGCAACCGTACTATTATCATTTTTTCCTTCGATTTCGTTTGTTAATCTCTTTTTGTTACATGCATTCGACGCGTGCAGGTGTTGCGTGTTACGTCGTGATTCGCTTGCTCAAGTATCTTTCTTCCCTTTTTCTCGTAGAATTGTTCGTTCAATGACCACGTGATGTGAACGTCACGCGTGAATTTCTTAGAAATTATATCGGTATACGGGTATTGACATACGTGTAGGTATCGTGAGTGACGTTCACGAGGCGATCGCTTGGTTTATCAATTGAATGTGCATTTTCAAAGAGAAACCGACTTTCACCTAATCTTTATCGTAGCGCGTTTATCACGAAACCTCGTAATTCATAATTTGCCAATATTTCGGCGCAACATTATGGTGCTTGAATTACCAAAGGATCGTGAATTTTTGGTAAACAATTTCACCTCTCTATGAGGATTGCAATTAGTATTTTATAATCTATTTTTTCAAACTCCAAATAATGTTCATAAAACATTTGAAATTAATCTGTTGGAGCTGAAAGAATTGCCCGGAGTAATTACTATCGCTCTTATTATCTGAACGATGTGTAATAGCGAACGCAATATATTTTTTAATGTAATAAATGCTCTCTGGGCGACTGTGTACAAGGATTACCTGTTAAAGAATACTCGTTACAGCTATACCTATTAGAAAGATTTAAAACGGCCTTCGACGACCTTAAAATATCCTCATATTCGCTTAGAGAATTGTTCACGCGTATTTCTACCAACTAAAAACTTTTATCGCAACATAACATTCTACAGTCAAATGTTTTCACGCACTCTAAACTTATAAAAATACGATCAGGTGAACGATTATTACCAGACATCTGTAAGCTTGATCTTTTATCTAAAATTCTGTCTAAAAATTTATGCGTAACACAGATTGTCTTTAAATAAACATTTCATTTATTATCTATTTCAAAAGTGCATCGCCTAAATTTTGAAATTATGCCACACAGGCATAAGTTTTAAGCCTAAACGTTGGCTTAAACTTTAATCGTAAAATCTAGTTATGTATATGCTACCATGTGGCGCCAATTTAAAGAGCCAGCAAATTATTTACTTGTAAATAGAAATGTTTTATCGATACATTATCGTTGCATGCTACCCGGTTTTTCATTCGGATACGGAGTTATGCGACGCGACGTATTTACACGCACCTGGCACGCTCGGACACGTTAGTTAGACACATATTAGTGTCGCTAGAAGAAGGACGATAGATAGATCGATATAGATGAAAAATATATCTACTCGTACACGAAGTACGAATAAATAAATACGCGCTGGCGGTAATTTACGTGAGAGCATTATACATATATGATATATATATACATATATATATACATATATATACATACTAATCTTGCTGAATATTCCAAGAAAGTCTGTCCATTTTTTCGAATGTCTCGAAAGTATTTTAATCTCTATTTAATTGTTGCGTGACATACGGCGCAATGGCAGAAGAATGAGTCGTATGGGACTTTAAACACACGACATTATTACAATTTAGAAGAAATCGTGCGTGATCATTAATATGCTTAAGAGAAATATTTCGTTCAGGAACAACTTAATTGGCAACAAATTGCCGAGAGTGGTTTCACCGAAAATATTTCTCACATTTGCGCTAAGCATCGTGCTGAGGTCGAGGCGTGCGTAAATTGACTAGTCCTTAAGTTCGGTGCTAATCAACAAGAAAAACTGTGCAAAATATATATGAACTCGCCTTATCATGACGTCTACGACTCCATTAGTTATGTATCTTTTTAAACAAGCGGGTTTAACTCTTTTGAGATAATTTAGATTGATCTACAGACATTAAGGAATTTTTATCGACTCGATTACACTTTCCCATGTTTACCATTTCGCGTCTTATCTCTTCTTTTTAAGTGATAAGTTCGATTAGAGTACACGCGAGCACCATTCAGACGATACACGATCCTCGAACCGTGTGTTATGCGTGTTTGATCTTAATCTGCAAAGAGTTAAACACGAAACAGAAACATTCTTCTGACGTTGCGCGACGAATTTTGCACGTAATCATTATGTACAGAAGCATATTTGCGAACGAGCCTCTGTACGTACATATACACATATATATTTCTAATCCTATAATGTGTATACCGAAACTTGTATGCACATTTCGACGTGATTGTGTACGAGCAGAGGATGTTAACCGACTTCTGTCGAGGTAACACCGCGAGCCACTCTTCGTCTTCGTTTCACGTTGCGAACAATGAATTCGAATTCTTACGATTAGTGGTGTAAGCGAACAATATACTATAATCGTACAATTTGATCGACCTAACAACTGTTTATGATTCGTTTACCATTGTGCATTTTAATGCTGATGATGGATGATTTCAATGAATCAACTTGACAACATGCAGAGAACGTGAAAGTTATTATTACAATTTCGAATTCAGGAGAAAGATTACAAAAGTAATAATAGTGATTTTAATTGGGATATCTTAAGGTACATAGCGCGCAGGTCGTGCTACGATTTACATAATAAAAAACGATTCTTCTTAAAGTTTTCAAACACACATCTTATTACGCGTAAGAAGTATGTGTACAGGAATGATATAGACTAGAAAGTTTCTCGAGTATTGTGCCAATCATAACATTTTAAGCCGCCCAGAGATCTTGTATGTCCGTTTGTTCCTTTTAACGACAGAACAAATAAATGGTAGGTCCAACGAAGGTATACGAACCGTCTTTAACAATTAAAATGTAATAATGAAATCTCAAGGAGGGTAGCGTTTACTAAAAATTTTGAACGATCCCTTGCCAGTCTTCGATACAATTTGATCTTCCATTATGAATCGTCTTCCCGATCTTAATTTTTTTTTATATGCATAAATCGTATCATGGACACAGACAAGTGTATTATATTGCATTTGTATTTGTATAAATGATTTGTAGTTGAAACCCCTAAACGGAATGTACATGAGTGATAGCTAAAGTGACCTTTTTCTTCTTGACACGGTGCGGATTAGTAAAAAGGATACAGTGATATCTACAAATTAGAAGGATCGATAGATGCGACAGGTAAAGACGTGAAGTTCACCTGATCGTTTTGGTCAGATCCAGTTTTCTTCAATAACAGGCTTCCTTCATTTTATGACGGGCGAAACGATCATTAATACTGGTTAAATTACACAGGAGGACAGGAAGACAGAAAGAGTGGCTCTCTCGACATGTATTTCAATCTTCCGTATTGAATTTTAAGTGTTACTAATCGTAAGATCGTAAGGCTGACCTCCTATGTCTAATGTGACGATTCGAGTTGAGAGTATGTATACCGAGGAGATAAATTATTTATTTGTTTACGATAACGAGGCCATTTGCGAATTGTATTTCGGGCTATTCGCGTATAAACTCGAAAGACTATCGCTGCAATGGTAATTGCAGCGACGATAACCGCCCGAAGGTGCGACCCCGTCTAAAGTGCACGAATTCCACGAGCACGTATGTACTATATGATTAAAACAGAAGATATAAACAAAAGAAAACTCATAGTACTTACGATCGCGTTAATCATCTGCGATAAATAAGACATTACGACTAACGGAATCGAACGTATTGTGCATTATATGTCGGGAATGAAATAAAATCAAAATGAATCAATTGACATTCTGCGTGTCTTCTCAATGTAACAATCATGATCTACAAATTCCTGTATTTCTTAACAAAGCATAATTATATTTTTACTTTTATCAATTCCTTATAAAGTTAAGAACTATTAGCACATAAAATCGAGGAGGTATTACTCGGTACTATTAAAGAGTGGCAGTACCCGAGTAATGAAACATTAGGTCCAGAGGGGCTCAAACAATGATCTATAGATCATTGGAGTCAAGACAGAGTGGACAATCACTCTTTTCGGTGGTACTCGGTATCGAGGAAGTCTTTGGATCATATTTAGTCAAGGATGGCGAAATAAAAATTCTGAGATTCATTCCCATTCGTTTATTAATTAGAATTTAGACAACATACATTAAATTATGGATAGATCAATGTACAATTTGAAGTCACACTTTTCGTTCGTTAGTACATTTCTTGCTGAAAATCATTATATTCCGATCGTCTTCTTCGCTCTTTAATGATCCTCGATGCACGTACGGTATATTTAAATGAAAATCATAATGCCCGCTCATTGTTCTGATGAATCTATATACAATTTGCCGTGCTCCATATCTTTATAGATGGCAGCTCCGGTGTGGAATGCGAGAGTTTCTCTTCTATAAGAATGCATTCAGCATGTTCTGTTTACAGTGCCGTAGTCGCGTCCATCATCCTCGCCAATCGTCGCTAGGTTGCGCATTCGTTTCCCCGCTCCTTCCGTTCAGTATTATTATGTTTCGCACGATTCGTTATTGGTGATGTTCAAAGGCGTGGTGGGTTCGCGTACTTTTGAAAGCTACTTCGCGTGACAATTGATCTCGGAAGTGGTGGTCGGCCAATAATACGCAGTAATGATTCCGTGTTACACGACGATCTATGTTCTCTCGGTGGCCGTGCTTGGTGTCAATGCTCTACACGCGAAGGATCCTTTGGCGCCTCACGGAAGATGCGAGCCGATCAGAATCAATTTGTGCATGAACATCCCGTACAACGAGACGATCATGCCCAATCTAATGAATCACCAGAAGCAAGAGGACGCCGGCCAAGAAGTGCATCAATTCGCGCCGTTGGTGAAGATGAAGTGCAGCCCCGACCTTCGTTTCTTTTTGTGCACCGTGTATGCACCCGTTTGCACAATCATTGACAGGGCCATACCACCGTGCAGATCATTGTGCGAGAGTGCTCGTGCGGGGTGCGAACGTTTGATGAATAGTTTCAATTTCTCCTGGCCGGAGAATCTCGATTGTTCCAAGCTGCCTGAAAACGGCGGTCCCGAACTTTGCGTCGGTCATAATGAGACAACACCGCCTGAACCATCGCCTTCGGAATTTCCGCGACTACGTATGCCGGTAGCAGAATTTCAACCTACTTGGACCGGGGGTTCGAAACCGCATGGCAGCGGTTACATGCTCGGCGCCAGGGATTTCGGTTTCGTTTGTCCGATGCAGTTCAAGGTCCCACACGATCTCGGATACTCGTTGAAGGTCGGCGCTAAAATTGAGCCTGATTGCGGCGCGCCTTGCGACGGAATGTTTTTCTCTGAAAGGGAGCGACGATTTTCAAGGATATGGGTCGGCACCTGGGCATCTGTTTGTGCGGCTTCTTGCTTTTTCACCTTTCTGACGTTTCTCATTGACACGAATAGATTCAGGTGAAAAAACTGTTCATTGTATTCAGATTGATGCAAATGCATACAATAGTTGTACTTGTATGAGATTGAAGATATATCTGTGTGTATACTATTGTAGTCAATGTATTTTTAGTTCCTCTAATTAAAATCATGTGTATTTTATTTCATATTTAGGTACCCTGAAAGACCAATCATTTTCTTGTCAGTGTGCTATTTAATGGTTGCATTGGCATATGTGATTGGATGGGCAGCTGGCAATTCTATTGCGTGCAGAGATCCTTTCCCACCTCGTATAGATATGAGAATACAAATGGCTTCAACAATTACCCAAGGTACCAAGCACGAATTGTGCACAGTACTTTTCATGGTGCTTTACTTCTTCGGGATGGCATCCAGCATTTGGTGGGTCATCCTTACGTTAACATGGTTCCTAGCTGCTGGGCTAAAATGGGGCCATGAAGCAATAGAAGCTAATTCACAGTATTTCCATTTAGCTGCTTGGGCAGCACCAGCAATAAAAACAGTTACTGTACTTGCGATGGGAAAGGTAGAAGGTAAGCTATCGCAAATTTAAGAAGTTAAATTAAGAATGCATAATTTTTGTATATGAAATAAATAGATTAATTTTTATTTCTCAGGTGATATATTGTCTGGCGTTTGCTACGTGGGTTTATGGGATGTTGACGCTTTACGTGGATTCGTATTGGCACCATTATGCCTTTATCTAATCCTTGGAACAGTTTTCTTACTAGCTGGCTTTGTTTCTCTTTTCCGCATTCGTACGGTTATGAAACACGACGGTACAAAGACTGATAAATTAGAGAAATTGATGATACGTATCGGCATGTTTTCCGTGTTATACATAGTTCCTGCACTGATTGTCATCGCTTGCTTATTTTATGAACAAGCATACTTCGATCAATGGATGTTGACTTGGAATATGGAGATGTGTTCAAGACCTGGACCACGATCTTTATATTCGATACCGTGCCCTGTCGGCGAGCGCACCCGCGACGTCGGTAAGCGACCTGAGTTTGAAGTTTTTATGATAAAATATGTAATGGCTATGATTGTCGGTATAACAAGCAGTTTCTGGGTATGGTCGAGTAAAACGTTGACCAGTTGGCGGCAGTTTTTTAATCATTTACAAGGACGCCGACCTGAAGCGTATGTTTAGAAGTTAATTCTATGCAAAGATAAATAGGAAACTTTTGCTTTCCTTAATTACTATATTTGATCATTGAATATCTCGCTCAAACAGTATCTAATCAAACTGTCACGCAAAGACATGTATTTTATATTGCATCTGATGGAGATCTTCAATTAATGTAAAGTAACATTACTAAATTCAATTTATTGGAAACAGATTTGGGAATAACAAAGATATGCAGTTTTATATTATTTTTCTATCTTGTCAGTGCATTATGAAGAGTAACGGGAATTATTACAAATGTACTGTGCCAAAATATTTTTTTACGATTGTATTTTTGTTTAAAGTATTTGTGATGTTTTTCAATATATTTTTATGGAACGTAAATAAGAATTGTATAAAATGTTAGATCTAATCATTGATTAGTTTTCAAATATTATTAGAAGATATTTGCATCACACTTTAGGTAAAAAAATTCTTCCTTTTCGCATTAACGGAATTGACAACTAACAATTCATTGTTTAAGTTACATATGCTCAAATTGTTTACAGACAATGTGTTCAATGTTTATAGGTGTACTTTTCTACAATACTCATAACGAAGCAAATATTAATTTATGTCTCATTGTAACTTGAAAATCTTCCATTTCTATTTCATTTTTATCGCTAGATCTAGAACAATTACGCTTACGAATCTCGCGAACAGGTTTTATACTTTTACACGGACAGCTTTAGAAACATTTTACGACATTCAAGACTTTAATAACATTCATGACTTTTTACTCTTAATTTTTAAGAATCTCATTAAGAAATATGGTTTTCATTTCTTAACGCATTTTCTGAGACAAACACTCTGCCTTTTGTAGAATACAAGTTAAGGCAAGCGTATCTTTCCGAAAGATATAAAATTAGTTGTAAGGCGTACACTACACTAGGTTTAACTAAACTTGTATATACTTACATATGTTAATTTTACTATGTACTATAATATATTTTTAAAAGATTATGTACATATACATGTTTGCCAAGTAGTTGGCATTTTCGTATGTTTCCTATGCGTAATCAAATCAAATCTTGAAAGTCTTGATAAGTGCGAGTTCTAATCGAAAAATATTCTGTAAACACTCGCGCGTCAAGCACAATCATTGTTCCAGTATAACTGATCAATTCGTCCATTGAAACTGTCGAGCTTTTGTGTATGTCATGTATCTACGGCGATTAATAAAAGAAAAAGCTATTAGTAAAAAATTTACTGTGTAATTAAAGCAGCCGTACTTACATTATAGTAAATGCGCAAAGTGTCATATAAGTATGAAATATACGTGACGTTGTGTAAAGTAATTATGATTATTATATTCTTTATATAATAAATCAAGATTATATACATAAAAATAAATAATTTATACATGTAAGTTTATTTGAATCAAATCTGTTTACAAGTATATACATACATATATATATATATATATATATTTAATAAAATATACAATTACTCGGAATGGAGTAGGTAAAAACTGTCAATTACAGTTATTGTAATTTCATTGATTTGTCACTTAATTTCTTTTCATTTAACAATTCTTTTTTTGGACGTTTAAGAAATCCAATTTTTCTCAAATATCTTACAAGGAATGGTGTTACTGCTAGCGTGAGTGATATTCGAATAGGCGCCATTAACTTGTGAATGCTATACGCAATCAAGAAAGTTGACGAAGTATTAATAGCACTGTCTATTTGTTGGTTGGATGTGACATAAATATTATTAATGATAGGTTTTAAATCTATCCCACTGAAATGAATGTTTCTTTTAATAAGTATA